ATAAAAATGTAGACCACGACCTTGTTTTTTTATTTCTTTATGTGAAAAGTTGCCCAGCGAACAGAAAGTTCATGTGGTGATAAGTGAATACCGTCGCCCATGGTCATCTGGTACACCCCAGGGTTCCAGATGCGTTGACAACCTTTTGAAAATTGGGCTCCGGCTACCTCCAGACGAAACAATCACCAGACGAAACGCGAAAGTATTATACTTCCACTTTACGCCGGTCTTCTATGAGGTCATGGTACTTACCGGGACGAGCCTGCCCATTCGTGCAACAGCCAAGCCTGCTGCGTGGGCCTACCACCGTTAAGCCATAGACCATCCATACCTCACAGAAGACCAGAAGACCAAGTAGAAGTGTTATAAATCTGCGTTTCGTCTGATACACTTATTAAAAACTCACTAGTAAACGCATTTGCAACCCTACGGGTAATCACTTAAAATCAGGTCTACCGCAAGCTCGATTGACACCTTCTCAAGTTAAAAAAATGTAATGATTCGAATGCTCACTGAAACAGGTGAGGTATGCGAATAATTAAAATTGCATTCTCTCATAAAAAACAGACTAACATTTGGGTTACTTACGAAAAAAGGTTTTCGTAAAGAAAAATAAATTCGGTAACTTACATTTGTGCGATTATAGTTTTCCGGAGTCCGATGTCCCTGGCCGAGCAACCCAATCGCTAAAATTCGTCTCTCGTTCAACGTCTTAAGACTACTGATATACAAATTTCATTTCATAGACATTGTATCACTAACTGATTGTAAAACAAAAAATTCGAAGACGGCACTTCTTTTGATTGATGCATTCTTCTATTATCATGCAGATGCTTGTGCTGTGCTTCAGTGTAGTGTTGAAATTTCCTGTAATCGAATTGCTGTGTATTCATACAACGTACGCAAAATAAATACCAATTCAATAAATAATATCTCGAATACGAACATAATTATGTGTTTGGAACCAAATGAACTAGACAATATTGCAAACTAGATAAAACTCATCAAAGCTTTCTGTTACGTTAATGAACATGATTATTATTCAAATATAATTGTGGTTTTGTCCACCATGCGCTGCAAAATGTACTTCGATGTTGGCATAAATATGTTTGGTTTGAAATTCAAATATCTTTATCCAATATAGAAGATATTGATTATCATAAAACACTACTATTGGTCCGGAAAAAAGCCTAAGAAGAACCGGTGGGACAAATAACAATCATGTTTACAATTTATTAAATTCCACTTGAAAGAGTCTGGACCGATCATTTCATTTTCAGATCATTTAAATAATCACTAACTCTATAATATAGCCTTTAACAAACAAAAGTTCCTTTTTCAAGTTTTTGGAATTTAGCAACTGATTCATTTTGAATGTTTTCTTGGATTGTGTTGAAAAAGGTATAATTGTCCCCTAAAAGATTTGTTTATTCTATGCAATCTAGATTATACTCATCGTACTTATACCATGCTTATTTTTATGGACATACATAACATTTGCATGAATGTATTGAGAAGCAACAGTCAATATTTGTATACATTTAAACAAATTTCTTATTAATTCTTTGTGGCCCAGGATCTAAACTGCTCGAATAGATCTCTATTTTAAAAAAATCCATATCAAGCCATAAGACATATCCACATCAGTCCACTGTCTTATTTTTTAATCGCGAAGGCTGCTGAGCTATACTCGTCACCTTATAAATATTATGGGGGCTCCATTGCAGTTTCACTCTATAGTTATGCCAAGTCGAGTCAATACGGTCTAACGCCTCACCATATAGAAGGAGGTTGTTAAGTAAATTAATTTAATTAAATATTAGCTGAATAGTATGTTTAAACTTTAGCTTTGTCCTTCACCTTTGACTGGAAAGATTAGGGGGAAAGGATTCAGCTCATTATTATTGTTATCGTTAGCTTTAAAATTTAAATTCTAATAAGTTAAAATGGGTTTAAATACAGGCGAAATCTATAGTTTCCTAAAACCTTGATCAACAAATGAGCTATTAACTTATCAATCTATATACTAATAAATATAATTTTACGTTAATATGGTATTAATTTGAACAAACATTAAAATTAAGCGAGCACCAAAAGAAAATATATCGTTTTTTTCCATTCATTTTAATTTGTATTTTGTTACCAGTGTATGCCACTCTATGTCTATAAGGGTATAATTATTTGTTATTATAAAATATAAATATCCAAGATGATTTAAAATTCGTTCAAGTTTTTAATTTTAACAATATGTTGTTTTTGCTTGTGTAATTAAGAAAAATTATAACGGTAAACGAAATAGAAAGGTCGGCTCAAAAAAGGTGTAACGCTTATACTCACGTTAAGGTCTGGCTTAAGTTAGATGACGAATATTATCACCCGTTGATGAACGCCTGTTCGTTTGCCACTTTATATAAATGACCGACAATGTGTGAGGAATATAACGCGCAGCTATTACCGCAGAATGCGAGCAGGTGTGTTTCCAAATATACTCTATGCTTGAATCTGCCGTTATTCTTGTGAAAAATAAATTTGTTTCCGCTTTAGGTACACTTTTTACAATCTCTGCAGCATTTTATGTGTTAAATTAGACTCTTCTCACGATAGATGGATGGTACGCGCCGACGCGACTAAGCTGATATACGAGCTGTAATTCAAGCTTAATGTGTCAATAAATATTACGATACATTATCAACATAAGTGTCCGACGCTTAGCAGAAGTTACACGGACGGACGAGGAGGTCGCTTGGCGCGCTGCCAGGGCTGCGAAGGCGCTGGCAACTCGCTGGCGGCACTTACGCCTACGGTTGTTTTGTTTCGGAGTCTCGCTTTTACTAAAACCTCTGATGTTGAGTCATACCCGCGCCCAATGAAATACTGCCACCTTTTCATGAAGTGAGCCCCGGTTACCACACTCACCAGACGAAACGCTTCCACTTCGCGCCGCTCTTGGTCGCGGTTCTTTCCCGGACGGACCTGCACATTAGTACAACAGCGAAGACTGCTATTACATTTGGACTTTACTGTGCCCTTAAAATTTATAGAAAAATGAACGAAAAGCTTTTCACTGTCGTGGGAATCGAATCCGCGTATTCCGGACAATTTTTCTACAAATTTTAATGCTTCATCGTGCAAAGATTAGCTCTATAAAAACTTAATGCAACATTTAATACTATATCTCGATGTTTAGGGTTCCGTGCCCAAAGGGTAAAACAGGACATTATTACTAAGACTCCGCTGTCTGTCTGTCTTTCTGTCTGTCTGTCTGTCACCATGCTGTATCTCATGAACCGTGCTAATTAGCCAGTTAAAATTTTCACAGATGATGTATTTCTGTTGCTGCTGTAACAACAAATACTAAAAAACAGAACAAAAATATTTCTGTGGGATTCCCATAAAAAAAAAAAACATGGTGTTTTTACCGTTTTTATAGATAATGGTATGGAACCCTTCGCACCTGGCCGGTTTTTTCTGCATTTGACGACCCGATTGGTGTAGTGGGTAGTGATCCTGATTCTTGCGCCAGAAGGTGTGGGTTCGATCCCCTCTACTGGAAAAAAATTGTGTGATAAACATAGTGTGTTTCCAGTGCCTGGCTGTCTATATTTGTATAATATGTATTTATTTACAAAAGAAAAGAAACGCATATCAGTTATCTAGTAACCATAGTACAAGCGTTGCTAAGTTATGAGAGAAAGTTGTGTAAAAATGTGTCCTAAAATATTTATTATTTTTATTATTTAAATGCCGGTTTTATCTTTAACGCACTAGAAACACAGGCAAACAAAAAAGTGTTATCACTATTTGATTTACAATGTCGTCTTATTTCATGCAAATTTACGTTATAATTATCTTTAAAAAAAGAATCAAAAGCTTAATCACATTACAATCAGATGATCGTTAATATATTTAATATGAAAAGAGCTTAATGCATTTTTTGCCCGATTTCGTGTGCACTGATGCGCTTAAAACCCACGCCGCGGTGTGGGCGGCGAATAATTTCACATTTATCGACACCGCAACTATGGCCTCCGTGTTTTTGCACGGACCATTTAAATAAGAAGGAATAACGAGATGAATTTTCGTGCGAACGAATGATGATTTTTTGTTAAAATTCTGCAGAAATAATGCTGCAGAATAAAATTAGCAACGAAAACTAACTTCGCTATGTAGACTTTATGGCAGACGATTTACATATAAATAAGACATAAATCTTTATGAGAATGAGACATGCTGTATTTAAAAAAAATCTTTAATACCAAATGATTTTTTACCGACTTCTTAAAATAAATATTTTCCGAGAAATTGATTTGGTAAAGATTTTCTGTACTTAACGTTACTTTTAATAAGCAGTCGCAGTCGCTGAGCCATGGGCGCCTTTCGATTTCTACACGGGACAAGCATTTGACGCAAAGACAATTTTTCTAGATCTGGGTGTTTGTTCTCAAGGAGAGTTGACTTCAGACAGGCGGCCGGGTGCAAAAACATTGCCAATAATCTCCGATCCACATGTTATCCACCTAGGTGGGATAAGGCGACGAGAAATAATACTTTCCTCAAGTCTTGTATCCGTAAAAAGCCTTGCCATTTATCTAACTGACAGGACCAAGAAACAGTTTTCGCTGTTGCACGAATGGGCAGATCCGTCCGAAAACGTACCACGACCACACAGAAGACCGGCGTGAAGTGGAGGTGTTACACATCTGCATCCCGACGGGTGTTGTTAATGTTCCTGGGCGGCTATCACTTAACATTACGTGTACCGCTGATAATTGTTGTAATGATTCAAATGCTTACTGAAACTGGTGAGATATGCGGATAATTTTGCACTCGCTCCGGTCAATAGGTGCAGTCTCACTGTGTGATAATGTTTGTTCGCCCATAATTCTGGGTGACGTAACAAGCAAACATACTTAATCATTCGTTCGTACGTGAGGCCGCTTTATCAAAAACCTTCCCGGCACCCGTTAAAGTGGGGTCCGCGAGTTTTCCGCTCCGGATTAACCGCACGGCGTTTTCCGTTTCGCCACGCCGCGATAATTCCGGCTGACTGAGCGCGCGCCCCGCTCGCATAATTCGCCGCAGCTGGATGGCGGCCAAGCCGAGCTTAATATGCGACGCGCTGCTTTATTAACCTTGTGCGTCGCTTGTACAAAAGCGGCGCCTTGCGATGGCTGAGACTGGAGATCGAGACTGAAGCGAAGGTTGGTAAGAAGATAGGGAAGCCGAGGTTGGTGAATTCGTGATGGCGGTGGGACGGTTGTGCTGGAAACCCGGTAAAGCTTGACTGGTTCTTCACCAGTACCGTGATTAAAAGTGCGGACAATGTTTGCCGATTGCGGAGCCGTGATAGCTCAGTGTCCGGGCGCTCGCCTTTAATTCAATATATACTCGAGCAACCTGAGTTCGATCCCCGGTGCCGGCACCAATAAAGTTTTTAACTTTAAGTGCTGAATTGTCACGTGCTCCGCGGTGAAGGAAAACATCGTGAGGAAACCTGCATATTTTCGAAATAATAACAAAAAAAAAAATGTATTTCGAAGATATATGAAGTCCGCCAATCCGCAGTAGGGCAGCGTGGTGGACTATGCCCTGATACCCTCTGTATAGAGGAGGCCTTTGCCCAGCAGTGGGACATGTATAGGCTGTTACTTTACTTTTTTCTTTCCAATGTTTGAAAGCGTAAGTATGTGTTTTATTTAAGCATGAAAACAGTTATTAGGTGAGTTTGTTTTAGGGAAAATGATCCTGTTTTGAAAAAGTAAAATAAAAATAAATAAAATAAAGATGGTCTTTTAACGCTTACTTACAAGTAATGGATCACCATAGACGGTTATACCCAAGGTTTGTACACTGCCGTCAATTGTAAACGACCGTTCAGAAATACACCATCGGATTCCAAATTTCAATAATAAATCTTACTAGATTTCCAGCGGTAACCATATAGCCGTAGGTGGGTTCCGAACAATGTCAGCCCATCGCGCGGTGCATACGCTGTAAGAAATAAATTGTTGTGTGAATTTACGAGCGGCGCGTGACTAAGCACACTCGCTGCAACATCCAACTACGCCAGCAGAAATGAATGAAGCGATGTCGTTTATCCTTGTCTCGGATTACTTGCTAGAAGCCCTAGGAATTTGCCCCGTACGGAGCGCGAGTTCTTGTTCTGCGAACTTGTATTAGAATAATTATTTTCTTTCATTAACGCCATTTGGCTCATTCTATATTGGTTAGCATATGTTGATCAACGTATGGGGCAGTGGGGCACGATAGCTGTAATTCAGCGAATTTTTTGGCCGTGCATTTCTTTCAATTTGTGCATTTTTCATTTACAATTTTTTTTTCATTTTATTATTGATCGTCAGGATTCTCGTCTAACTGTTCTCTTCTCTGTTTTCCACACAATTATTATCATTAATTCCGGACCGATTCGACTTAGGGATCTTCAAGAAGATAGCTTATTTTTACGTCACAAGTGGGCTACGCATTTGTAATTCCTTTGGTGTTGCAAAGTTGCAATGGGTAGTGATGATAGCCATAAAAATCTTCAAAATATAATATTGATTAAAAAAGCGCATTAATTATATTGTAGAAGAAAAAGATCTGGAACTTTTTTTTTATACTTCATCCAGTCCCAAATTAGGTATAAAGTAAATGATAAAAATTTGCTATAGCAATGATAACCGAAAAAAAACCAAGCACCAAGCGATGTTTTTAAAAAAATACAAGAATAAAAAATATCGGAAAAAGCTGGCGGACATTAATTGTAACAAATGTGTTTGCAGACGCAGACCTTTTAATAAACTGGCCCGGTTATCTCACTACGCACCTACTTCTGTTTGGTTAGTGGGTGGGTAGTAAAGGTTCAAAAGAGTGCTCTCATGCTCAAACTTTACACGATGTGATGAATACCCGTGAAATAGAGCCGTGATGACGTCTGTCCTCACAACGACTCCTCGTCCGCATTCACGTTGCATACTCAAAACTAAATTGGAATTTCTATATTTCAAGTTAAATTTCTTTGGAATTGTTTTGATTTGAAATTACTCTACCAACATATATTTATAGGATTAAGCTGGTGAGAGAATGAGATGTTTAATATCTTTGCCTTTTTTATGCAATCTATCACGGGGAACGCTCTGAGGAGTTGTTTGGATCAATACCCGCTGCTGAATTTCTCCACCATACGATGTGTCAAACTGCCAAATAAATGCCATCGTTAGTACCTCGATCACGTAACTATCTGACACGCACAACCAAGTTGTGGGATCAGTTGTCGCCAGCGGTATTTCTGGACCGATACGACTTAGGGACCATCAAGGATAGAGCCTATTCCTTCCTCAAAGGCCGGCAACCCATTTGTGACTCCTCTGGTGTTGCAAGAGCATGTGATACCCATGGGCGGCGGTTAACACTTACCATCAGGTGGTAAGTGTTAAAACTAACTTACTTGGGCTGTAAGTATGTGTATACACACCTAGTGTGGTATGTGGATTTTCTCGATAAATATTACTTCTACTAATTAAAAATTCTGTTTTCTTTTTTCTTTTCTTCGCGTTAAGGATCCAGTTGTAAGTGCATTACAACTTGAACTTTTACCCCAAACTCTAGCTGAATGGCAATTAAATCCGGATTGCCGTAGCACAATATGGTGCACTGAAACGGCTGTATTGTAAGCCTCCGGGGCGTGTATCGTGTCTCCCCGTTAAATGGACAGGAACTCGAGCAGTTTTCATAACTCAGCGTTATTATAGCGAGCGTGTGCATTATGAAGGCGATGTATGGGGTTAATATGCGAACACATTGCTTATTAAGCAAGACTTGGCCGGTCGCCAGCGGTGCCAAATTATGAGCGCGCGGCTTACAGTCAGCCGGAGTTAAGTTGTGGTTGCGGATTGCGCTGTGTATTTAATGTAACATCGTTTCGGGTTTAAACGCGGCTTCATTCGAGATCCGTCGCGTTAGCATCGCATCTGACCGTTCCGTTCAATTCGGAACACCCGATTTGGGTTAGAAATGGACTTTGTGACTTCGAGTATCCATCAAATGAATGTTTAAAAAATTCATACTCTTCCCTATTTACAAGATAAAAAGTTTTCATCACTGCTTGGCCTGGTAAAAATATTTAATAACAGCGAATCTGTTATCTGCTTTATTGAGAATTGTTTATAACGCACGCAAATGTATTTTCATTATATCAGCATATTTTATACATATCACAGTAAGTGCATATGGAGCCTGTTAAAATGGACTGATGGGAGCCATAATATCCGTAAAACTACTTACTCTGGTAATGCGGCGACATTACGACGAGCGAATCTTTTCGCGTGATCGTAATAGGCACTTTAGTTTCACGAGAATTTTATTGCGGCCATCGGAATAAAGCAACTCCCTTAGAACAGACACAAGTTCGGGCGAAGCTTGTTTAAAAATTAATTGTATTTATGATACAATAGTCGTGGAGGGCGAGTGGCTCACTATTCGGCTTTTGTTCCAAAGATCTATAGTACGCGCTACTCGTACAGACAACAAGTATGGGTTTTCCAGCATTTTAATAATAATAAATAAATAAATAATCAATATTTTAGGACACATTTTTACACAACATTCTCTAGTCCCAAACTAAGCAAAGCTTGTACTATGGGTACTAGAAAACTGATAAACATACTTAAACATACTTTTCTTTTGTAAATAAATACATATTATACATATATTAACACCCAGACACTAGAAAAATACTATGTTCGTCACACAATATGTTTCCAGTAGTGGGGATCGAACCCACACCCTCTGGCGCAGAAGGCAGGTACACTACCCACAACGCCATTCGGGTCGTCTAGCGGAAAAAGATATCTAACAGACTTTGTTTGGCTAAAACTGTTTAATTACTTACTCTTATTTCTTTTGTTTAATAGCATCTTTCATTGCACTTCAGCCATTTATTAACATGTGAATATAAAGCTCCCAATTTATTCAGTACATTTTGTATTGGAAAAATTGGAAATTTACGAATAATATGAATACATCGATGAATTTTTTAAAACAAATTCTCTAGTAGCCCGCTTAAACAGCATCTGCGGTTGGGTAAACAACAACGATTATTATGTGCAGTTGACGCCGAGGTTAAGTTTAGAAAACAGCACCTGCGGTTGTTAGCCATGGACGATGGATGTGTCTATAACCCCCTCCATAAAGCCATAATTATAAGCCGGCGATCACCGTAGGGTAGAAGGTCACTCACTTGTATATGTTTTTATGTTTGTTACCACAGAAGTACGTCAAATTATAAAAATTCTTATTACATTAGGTTTTATTTAGGTCACGTATGGCACCATAATTTTTTTGCCGTTTTGAACCTTGGATACATCAGGGAACCCCTCAAAATGAAAAAGAAAACGTGTAATGAAAGGGATAATTAAAATATGTAGAAAAATTTCTCATAAGTCAAGAGGATAAGTCAATTTTTTTTGTTACTAAAAATGTTTTGCCTTTGCACATGACAAAAAGTATATTTATGTACATTTGTCACTCTTTTAGTACCCATAGTACAAGCTTTGCTTAGTTTGGGACTAGAGTACGTTGAAAATATATCCTGAGAATATTTATTTCTTTATTTATTCTTTGGTTAGCACCTGTCATCTACTTTTCACAATGACAAGGGTTGACCGGTGGAGTGCCACAAGGGATTAAGGTCGCCCATTGTAGCCGTTAGTTTAAAGTGAAGCAATGCATTATAAATAAATAAGTAACTTAGCAATTGCTATTTTTATTCTGTAGACATTACTGTAAAATCAATTTGAGTCATTTCTATAGTGAAGAAAAGATATGACAACGTCTCCTTTGCTTAAATTAGCGAGGAGAGCATCGTTGTACTGAAAAATGTAATAACGATTGCGTACGGAACACTAGAAAGGTAATAAAACGGCATTACTTTGTAACTGTACCGTGTCTCGCGCGCTCTTCGTCTGAAATAATAACGTCGTTTACGGGCGCACAAGTCGCTCTTGTGTCCGAGGAGGCTGCTCGACTAAAAGAAATACCCATCCACTAAATTCAATTACGACACGTGAATACAGTTTCACTTGTGAAGTCCTGGTGGGAAATAAGCTTCATATAGCAACGTCCGCGGGATGGGGAGTGATCATCCTCAATTAAATTCGGTTTGTGAATGTCTAACGCCATTACGAGAAAGTACTACTTGGTTACGAAACTGTATAAGTTCTTTTTTTTGCTATAAAGCTTGCTAGCAATCAGACGCGATGGTGTTTTATCCGGTATCAGACAAAATTAGTAGATAAAAAGTGAGAAACAATCTATATACGTCCCACTGCTGGGCATAGTCAACCCCGCGGCGGATTTGAGGACTTAAATTAGTAGATAACATAGAAGTAATCTGTTTCGTTCAGTTTGGTGGCTACGGTCATGTTAGGTTGAAGTTTTGCGGTGAGTTACTTGAAACAAGCAGTGGTACGCTGTTCTGCGGATGGCCCTGCATTGTTGTAACGGCGCCAAAGACGGTTAATTATACTTCGGTTTACATCAAAAGCCCGCGCCACCACGTAAATTTAGCATTAATGATGTCTTAAATCGCGAAACCATTTTAAAACTAAGTAATTGATACGTTATGACTATTATTGCACCTTTATTGTATTTCACCTTCAAATGTTTAATAAATGAATTTTGCTACGCATTATATGTAGTTGAAAGTTCTGAAGTAACAAATATAAAAAAATACAGTTAAATTGAGATTTTTTTTTAATTTATGAACTCGGTGGAAAATATAAATAAACAACATAAGAAAGTTTTCAAAGTCAATCAAGGCTTGAC